ATTTCTATTCTAGACACTATCCATTCCAAACCCTGAGTCTGTCTATAAAGAAGCTAGTTGAGGGGACTCTTGCCCCTTTCCCACGTGGGAGTCTGTACTTTTTCTTCAATAAATTTCCACCTTTGCTATTAAAAAAAGAAAAAGAAGCTAGTTGATAGTGAAATGCTGAAAACCCGTGCCAGGATATGCTTATTTAAGTCAAATACTACAAGGAAGAGCAGGTAGACATTATGTTTTTTTGTTTTTGCGTTAATATATTTTTGTGAGTATGAATGGCTTGAAAATAGCCTAGTGGACAAAATAATGAAAATAGTTGAAATTTCTGTTTTAGCTTTATACATTTCTATTCTAGACACTATCCATTCCAAACCCTGAGTCTGTCTATAAAGAAGCTAGTTGAGGGGACTCTTGCCCCTTTCCCACGTGGGAGTCTGTACTTTTTCTTCAATAAATTTCCACCTTTGCTATTAAAAAAAGAAAAAGAAGCTAGTTGATAGTGAAATGCTGAAAACCCGTGCCAGGATATGCTTATTTAAGTCAAATACTACAAGGAAGAGTTTAGCAAAGTCAGGAATATCCCCTCTTGCCCTCCTCACTTACACACAAAGGGAAGAAAAAGCATAGATAATGTTTGTTAGGTCTGGTCAAAGAGATTTGCTGAGGTGAGCTAAATGTCAATGAATCATCTCAGAAGTAGTTTGTGGGAAAGGCTTTTACAGAAATGTTTTACTTCCTACTTAATTGAATGTTTGCAAAAAAAAAAAGTCTATAATCTTTGTTAAGCTTTAAAGTACGTTTCAAATAGTAAGGTTTTTAAATTTCTTAAATGGAAACATTAACTTTACTGAAAAATCAGGCCTTTTCACATATTTGAGTCTACTTCATGTTCAGCTGATGATGTTGTTTGCTTGACAGAAGAGGAACTAAGAAGGGCTGTGGTCTGAACTCCGTGCACCAGGCACAGACGGAGGAGAGAAGCTCAGACAGAGGGATGCCGTTTTCGGTCAGCATGCGGCACGCCTTTGTGCCTTTCCCAGGGGGTGTATGGTCACTGGCAGCAGCCTGCTGAAACCATGTTTTCCGAGGTCATTGTAACCCTTTTTGGAAAATCCCATGGATATTTTCGTCCTCATCCTCTTTGACTTCTGTACAGCATTTGTCACTGGTAATGAAACCTCATTTTCCTCAGTCTCTCTCCTCCCTTGACCACTAAGGCACACTTTTTTGTCTCTCTTTCTGACTTGTTTTGCATTTTGTTTCTTCCCCTTTTCTCCAGACAGCTGCTCCCTCTTACATGGGTTATAACCCTGAGGCTGTCCTCCTGCCTGACCTCTCCTCAGTACTCTAGCCATAAACCTTTTGTCATCAAAACATTTGGAAGTCATGATCTAACTCCCAGATAATCCCTACTGTTGGTATATACATTTGCCCTTTTATGTTTTGCAAGTTGGCAGGTCTGGGTCAGTGCAGTTAACTATATGAATTTATTTGGATTCTGTCAGAAACATATATTCTAAGAGTGAATTCAATTCTATGATAGCATTACCTGCTTAGCAAATTTCACTTTTGCTTTTTAAATATGAATTAACACCATTTTACGATTGTAACCATTTTTAAGTAGTATTCAGTTCTGTGGCATTACGTAGGTTTGCCTTATGCAATCATTACCACCCCCATCTCTAGAACTTTTTCATCATCCCCAACTGGAATTCTGTGCCCATTAAACACTAACTCTCCCTCTTCTACTTCCCAGCCCTTGGTAACCACAATTCTACTTTCTCTCTCTATGAATTTGACTACTCTAGTACCTCATGTAAGTAGAGTCATACTGTATTTGTTCTTGTGTACCTGGCTTATTTCACTCCACATGATGTCTTCAAGGTTCATCCATGTTGTAGCAAGTGTTAGAATTTCCCTCTTTTTAAGGCTGAATAATATTCCATTGTATGTATAAACTTCATTTTATTTATCTGTTCATACATCAATTTATTCTTACCTAAATAATAAAATTGTTTAATGCAACTATTTTATACTGCTTCTGTTTTAAAATTTTTAATTAACTTAAATATATATGAATTCAGCCTGGAAATTTCTGCCATTCAATGACTATTTTTATTCTGTTTTATTTTCTCTAAGTTTATCAATTACATGTCCTAGATATTTTAGAGTTTATAACATGCCTCACATCACAAACTATCTTTAAATAATTTTACACCACATCATCCAGAATGTAAGGAATTTTTTTATTTCCCTTTTCTTGTAATTGATTTGATCATTATGACTATTATCAGTTCTGCTATGTAGTTGTTTTTGCTTTAAGCAGTCTCTGCTTCCTCATCTCAGAGAGACCATAGTGCTCTGTTTCCTCTCTCCTTCCCTGCAATGCATTCTGGGAACCTGAGACTGTTGCATAACTCACCCCCCTCCTTTCGTCCCCCCTCTCAGGGACTGTAGTCTGAATTGCCTGCTGTCCAACACCTGAACATAGTTATTTCACATATGTTGTCCAGGTTTCTCATGTTTATGGCTCTATCCACTGAGCAAAACCGGCTAGGGCAAAACTTGTTTAGTTTTGATAGGTATTGTCAAATTGCCATCTAATATAATGGAAGTAAGTTACCATTTACTTCCTAATAGCAATCTATGAGAATTTTTTTTCTCAGCCTTACCACAGTGTGCTATCCAACTTCTAGACTTTTGCAATATACATAGAGGAAAATTGTTTCTTGCTGTAGACAAATATGCATTTCTGTTATTGTGAATGAAGTTGAGCTTTCTTTAACATGTTTAAGTTTCTTTTATTCTTATTTTTATGAACTGCTTGCTTATGTTTTGTCCTGTTCTTCATTTATAGCACCTTTTTTATATGGCAATGAGTTCTTTTTAATATTAGTAAAATATTTTTCCTACTTTTTCTTCGAACTGCTTTTATTTTATTTTTTATTTTTTTGGTTTTGCCATGCATATCTAATCCACTCATTTCTAATCCATAGGTAAATTATCTGAATAATTTAAAAAACTTTTCTTCACATATCAACCACTTGGTTTTTTTCAATTGCATGTCTTTGTTTTTGTTTTATTTTGTTTTTAATCCCCCCCTGAGGATATTTTTTCCATTGCTTTCCAGAGAGAGTGGAAGGAGGTTGGGGAGAGAGAAAGAAAGAAACATCAATGTGAGAGAGATACATAGACTGGTTGCCTCCTGCATGGGCCCCGACTGGGAACAGGAAGCAAACCCCACAACCCAGTACATGACCTTGTCTGGGAATTGAACCCGAGACCCTTCAGTGTGAGGTCTGATAACCACTGAGAAACACCGGCCAGGGCTGAATGGTTTTTTTTTTTTATTATCCCAGAGGAGCACACATTTCTCTCCAGCCCACTTAAAATGTGCACACATTGGAAACCAGTTTGTTTGTTCGTTCAATCGTTCATTCATTCACTCATTCATTCAACAACCGTTTAAGAGTCTATTATGTGCCAGGAACTGTGCAAAGTTTCCTATAGAATGCAAAGGAAAATTAAGTCTCTTATTCCTAAAGGTCAGTGCTAGTGGGTGAGGCATGAAAGAACCATTTTAGATTATGCGTCAGGTGCTGTGGGAACACTGAGGGAAGCACTGCCAAAGTGGTTAAGGAGAAGAGGTCAGGGGTAGCTTTATGCATGTTATGTATACTTGAAAGCTAAATGAAAAAAATGATCTAAGTTACAGGACTGAATTGCATCATATTAAGAGCAAGTTTTTAATTTTTGGATACATGATCTCATGGTTCTATATTAGAACTAAATTTCTGTCAACCTTCTTAATTATATAAAACGTGGATTTGCCTTTGTTTCAGCTTTTCTAAAATTATTTCTACTTCAGGTGGTGTAATATTAGCTGCTGATTACTCTCAACTTGAACTGAGGGTCTTGGCTCATTTATCCCATGATAATCGTCTCATTCAAGTATTAAACACTGGAGCTGATGTTTTCAGGAGTATTGCAGCAGAATGGAAGATGACTGAGCCAGAGTCTGTAGGGGAAGATCTGAGGCAGCAAGCAAAGCAGGTAATCTTAGGGAATATGCTTAATATAAGAGTGAATTTTAATGATTCAAAAAAATATCTCCATCATTTGCAGTTGAAGACTGCTTTCTTCTTTGCATCTTTCAAACTACATTTATCTGAGCCTCTCTCATGGTATTCATTGTACTTGCCTTCGTAGAGTCAATAAAAAGAATCAGACTTACATTGAGGCGATTTAGTGTCAGAATAGCCATTTGCATTAGTGGTGGTTGTTGTTGTTGTTGTTGTGTGTGTATGTGTGTGTATGTATTTAAAAAATCTCTTTGTAGTCTGCAAGCATCCATATTTTCATCTATTTTCACATATCATTGAGCCACGGTGCTTTTTATAAAAAGACTAGAGGCTCAGTGCACAAAAATTTGTGCACTCAGGGGTGGGGGTCCCTCAGCCTGACCTGTGCCCTCTTGCAGTCTGGGACCCTTCGGGGGATGTTCACCTGCTGGCTTAGGCCCACTCCATGGGGAATCAGGCCTAAGTTGGCAGTCAGACATCCTTCTGGCAGCCTGGGAGCCCTCGGGGGATGCCTGAAGAGCGGGCCTAACCCATTAGCTGGACATCCTTAGCACTCCTACGGAGGCAGGAGAGACTCACACCACCGCCGCTGAGCTGCCAGCCATGAGCCTAGCTTCTGGCTGAGCTGTGCTACCTCTGTGGGAGCACACTGACCACCAGGGGGCAGCTCTTGCATTGAGCGTCTGCCGGGCTGGAAGCCGGTATCTGGTATTTATTTAACTTCTATAATTGAAACTTTGTAGCCTTGGTCCGGCTGGAAGAAGGATCTGGGATTTATTTATCTTCTATAATTGAAATTTTGTAGCCTTGAGCAGAGCTCAGGGCCAGCCAGGGCAGGCGGGAAGCTTGGCTTTCTCCATTGCTGGGGCAACCCCAGCCTCCTGCTCGCTCCAGCTCCATGGCCGCCACCATCTTTGTGATGGAGTGAGGGAGAGAGGAAGTGATGGTTAATTTGCATATTACTCTTTTATTAGATAGGATGCTCTCTAAATGTTTGTTAAAAAATAAATATTGCTGTACTGTGGATTATAATTACCTAGAGGCCTGGTGTCCCTCAGCCTAGTCTGCACTCTCTCCAATCTGGGACCCCTCAGGGGATGTCCGACTGCCAATTTAGGTCTGATCCCACAGTCCGACATCCCTCTCACATTCTGGGACTGCTGTCTCCCAACTGCTAGCCTGCCTGCCTGCCAGCCTGTTCACCCCCTAACCGCACCCCTGCAGGCCCAGTCACCCCCAACTGCCCTCCCCTGCTGGCCAATTGCCTCCAGCTTCTCTCCCCTGCTGGCCTGATCACCCACAACTGCCCCCCTCCCCCTCCGCTAGTCATCTTGTGGCAACCATCTTGTGATGATGTGAGGGCGAGACACCACTTAGGCTTTCATTAGTTTAGATAACTGATAGCTTTTTAGTTTTTTGAGCCCATTGGTTAGCTAATCCACCTGTGAACTTCATCCTCCCTTGGACCTTTCAAGTGGGCCCACATAGTTTCTACTCCTGAATGATGTCAGGCACAAAGACCATCATAGTCCACATTTACACCCTTTCCTGGCCTGGGTTAACACCGATACTTCCTTACCACATGACCTGTGGGAAATCTGATGCCATTTTCAAGAAAATGGGGTTGATGGCTGAGGTAAAGGCCACTCCCACCTCTAAGATCCTGCTTTACTAGTTTTACATTTACTAGGATACTCACAGCTGTAATTCTTGACTGGCTCATTGGGCATGAAGCACTTCCTCTCACCACTGTCTGTTCTCAACCTTGGCTGCACATTAGAATCACCTGGGAATCTTTTAAAAATCCTGATTTCTGGGCCCCGTCCTCCGAAAATTCTGTTTCTTTGTTATGGGCTGAGGCCACAACATTAGTAACAAACAGAATTTCCGGAGGATGAGGCCCAGAAATCAGGATTTTTAAAAGATTCCCAGGTGATTCTAATGTGCAGCCAAGGTTGAGAACCAGTGGTTTAGTACCAACACTGTTTCTCCCATGACTTAGAAAGCCAGCTTTATCTTCTCTATTTAATCTCCTTTGGGGTCCTGCATTTAGCAAGAATCAAACCCCAGGTAAATAGGTAATATGCTAATATTTAATCCTCAAAATAAACCTGTGAAATAGGTATTATTTTTATCTTCATTTTATATAGGGGTAAACTGAGACACAGAAAGTTAGTAATTTGCTTTATGTCTTATAGCTATAAATGGTAGAGCCAGGATAAGTTCAAAATGCCAGAATTTAGACATTCTGACTTTGTAACCTAAACATTTTCCCCCTAATGATAGTGGCCTCTGCTTAATAAGTTCTTGCATGATTTAATAGTGTTTATGCTATACCAATTTTTCTAAATTGCTATGCACTGAACCATCTAATTCTTGAGGTTTTTTTTTTGTTTTGTTAGATCTCTGAGATCTTAACACTAAGTAATATCTGAGTTTAAAAAAGGAAAAAAAATCGGCATCACAACAAAATAAAGTATAGAAAGATCAAAAAGGAAAACAAAAAAGGAAAAAAATTGTCTCAATGTATTCAAAAAAAGGAAAAAGCAAAATACTATTAGCTGTCTTATCACATTAAAAGTATTTTGGAAGTCTTTTTTTGCTAATATGTATTGTTTTCATAGAGAGAAAGGAAGAAGGGGAGAGAGATAAAAACATCAATGATGAGAGAAAATCATTGATTGGCTGCCTCTTGCACACCCTCTTCTGGGGACCAACCCTGCAACCCTGGCATGTGCCCTGACTGCAATCAAACTGTGACCTGGTTCATATGTTGATGCTTAACCACTGAACCACACTGGTCAGGCTGGCATTCTAATACTCATTTTTTGCAAGTTACCGTTTAAAATTTTTGTAAGTTTACCTTTTTTTTTCTTTTTAAATTTATTTTTTATTGATTTCAGAGAGGAAGGGGCAGGGAGAGAGAGATAGAAACATCGGTAATGAGAGGGAACCATGGATGTGCTGCCTCCTGCGCGCCCCACACCGGGGATGGAGCCTGCAACCTGCAGGAATCAGACTGTGAGCCACTGGCTCATAGGTCCATGCTCAACCACTGAGCCACAGCAGCCACCTGGTCTTCTTGGTGCTTTTCTACAGAGTCGGCTAACTTGGGAAGTCAAAAGGCTCGTCCATCAGTTTGATTCAATTGAATAGGAAACCGCTGCTGATGGGCACTTAGGCTGTTTCCAGATCTTAGCTATGGTGAACTGTGCTGCTATGAACATAGGGGTGCATATATCCTTTCTGATTGGTGTTTCAGGTTTCTTGGGATATAGTCCTAGAAGTGTAATCACTGGGTCAAATGGGAGTTCTATTTTTAACTTTTTGAGGAAGCTCCATACTGTCTTCCATAGTGGCTGCACCAGCCTGCATTCCCACCAGCAGTGCACGAGGGTTCCTTTTTCTCCGCATCCTCTCCAGCACTTGTCGTTTGTTGATTTGTTGATGATAGCCATTCTGACAGGTGTGAAGTGGTACCTCATTGTTGTTTTGATTTGCATCTCTCGGATGATTAGTGACTTTGAGCATGTTTTCATGTCTCTGGGCCTTCTGTATATCCTCTTTCCAAAAGTGTCCATTTAGGTCCTTTGCTCCTTTTTTGATTGGATTGTTTATCTTCCTTTTGTTAAGCTTCATGAGTTCCCTGTAATGTTGGAGATTAAACCCTTAGGTGAGATAATATGGGCAAATATGGTCTCCCGTGCAGTGGGCCCACTCCTTCTGCTGCCTCCAAATCTTTCACCATCTTTCTGAACGATCCAAAGAGGCTACTGCAAGCCCACAGGCGAGGTTCCTCGGGACTGTTCGCTTTGCTGCATGGTCCACGTGAATGGAAGGCTGCGCGCGAACGGGGCATAAGTTTACCTTTTAAAGCAAGTTCTATATACCTGTTAGTAAACAGTGTTATAAACAGGTATATAGAACTTGTTTACTAACAGGTATATAGAACTTGCTTTATGGCATGCAGTTTTCTACACACTTATAACTGATTTAATCCTAACAATCCCATGATATAGGTATTACTACTGTCTTCATCTTATGAATGAAGAAATAAAGATGCTAAATGTTTCTGTAGCTTGTGCAAGATAATATATCTTGTAAATTCTGGCACTAGGATTTGGACCCATGCAATACTTATTATTAAATTAGTTTATTTATTGACCTATTTAGATCATTTTCCTTCATTATGCCCAAAATTTCATTACTTTTTGTTTAACTCAAATGAATTCTGCAGTTGTGGGATTTCAGGTGGCTGTGAGGTGAAAAGGATATTTATTTCCAATAAGTCTTCCTATAAGCAGGCTCTTTTAGTGCTATCTAAAGGTGGGGATAGGAGTGTTTGTATGCTTTTCTTTCCTACTCCTAGGCACTTCTTTAAGCAGAAGTTAATGAGGTTTTGAGGAGTTATGAAGAGTAGAAAGCTGCTCTGAAACTGGATAAATAACAAAGAATCAGAAATAAATCTTCCCTTTTAAATCATAGGATTAGCCCTGGCCAATGTGACTCAGTTGGTTGGAGCATCATCTTGTACACCAGAAGGTGGTGGGTTCTATTCCCAACCAGGGCACTCGCTCAGGTTGCAGGTTTGATCCCCAATTAATCTCTCTCTCTCTCTCTCTCTCTCTCTCTCTCTCTCTCTCTCATCAATAAAAATAAATAAGTCACTAGGATTACTTTCTTAAAACACACAACATTCATGTTTAATCCCACCCTTTGTTTCTTTCTGTCTCCAAAAAAACAGTACTACTAAAAGGCAGAAAAGATGTTTAGCTTTTATGGATCTAACCCACCAAAACAGATCTAATCATTTCTCTGACTCACTATGAAATAAAACACTTATCAAATTTCAATCTTAATGAACTTTTTATATATGTATTTTATGTAGTTATGACCTTTCATTTACTCAGTGTGCTGCCCTCCTTTCAGATTTGCTATGGAATCATTTATGGAATGGGAGCTAAGTCTTTGGGAGAGCAGATGGGCATTAAAGAAAATGATGCTGCTTGCTACATTGACTCCTTCAAATCCAGATACACCGGTAAAGAAGCCTCGAGTGTTACCTTCTAGGTGCTATTCTTTTCAACTGTCTTTCCATATTATATTCATTTTAAAATTTTGCGTTACAGAATTTTTATTAACATACTAATTGGAGGTTTTCATCAGACATGTTAATGAAATAACATTAACCTTATTATAATGATTTACTAAGATGTGCTTTTTTTTCATAAAAGTAGGGATGGAAATGGAATAGCGGAATGCAGCAAATGTATATGCTACAGTGTCATTGTGAATATCTCATACAATCTTGGACTTATCCTGTGCTTTAGGTTTAGATGGCTTTAACATGAAACAGTAAGCCATTGGTAAATGTACCACAACCTGTGAGAGAACAATTGTTGTTATAGAGCAACTTGAATATCACTATCTTACATTTTCTTTTGGCAGTTTATTGAGGTATAATGTGGATAGAATAAAAAAATTCACCCTTTTTAGGTGTATAGTTCTATGAATTTTGACAAATGCGCATAGTCATATAATCTATACCACAACCAAGATATAGAACCATCACCCCAGAAAGTTCTTTTATGCTTCCTTGTAATCAACTTTGTCCCCAGTACTCCAAAAGAAATCTTTATTTACACATGACATGATCTTGTACATCAAAACTCATATAAATTTTACAAAAACAACTACTAAAAGAAATATCTAAATTTAGCAAGCTCCCACCATACAAAGTCAAGTTCTAAAAATCAGTTATATTTCTACTAGTAATAAACAATTACTATATAAATAAAGAATAAAACTATATATATCTCCTATATAATAAAAGGGTAATATGCAAATTGATCCTAACAGCAGAATGACTGGGAATGACTGGTCACTATGACACACACTGACCACCAGGGGGCAGACGCTCAATGCAGGAGCTGCCCCCT